CTCTTTATTGAGTCAGTCACCACAGAAAAGGAGGTCGATTTGAGTATAACATGATTTGCAGAAATTCAGTTTACAAGCCAGTGTTGTGGCCATGCATTTATTCCTTAGAGCATGGAAACCTCTAGAGCTATTTAATAACCCTGCTAAAGGAACCAAGACACACTCAACCTGAGTTTGCTTGAGCGAGTTGTTGATAAATGAGAATAACGATTTGGGATGAGCAGAAAAAGCCTAGCTTGTTGAGATGGGAGTTGTTTCAGATTCATAAAATCTGATGTGGAGTTCTAGAGTTTATTGGTGAGTGAGCTGGCTCTCCCCAACCCCCTCCCCATTTGTTGGGGGAGTCAATAAAACTTTTCAGCTTGAGGGAATCATCATTTTGGGTCTTCTTGGCTAGACTAATTAGGGTCAAGTTTGCCCTCCTACCTTCTAAGAGCCACTCAGCCTCAAAGATTTAAGTCTAATGCCTCACCTTCCAGATCTTCTGACAGAAGTCAGAAGTTCCTTCTCTGTCCAGTTCCTTCTCTGCTTTACCACATTTCCTCTCTTTAGCTCTGTCTTCATGCCGGATGAGGAAACCAGAGGAATGAAGGGTCCTGTCCCTGTTCATTGTTGTTCAGTTGTGTATGACTCTTCATGACCCTGTGGACCATGGCACACCAGGCCCTTCTGTCTTCTGCTATCTCCTGAAGTCTGCCCCAGTAAGAGTTGGACACATTCTGGCAATGAAGGGTTCATCTTCTGATCTCATCTCTCTTAGCATTTGGATACTGTCTGTGGGGTTTTCTTGGCATAGGTACTGGAGTGGTTTGCCATTTCCTTCTCCAGTGAATCACTTTTTGTCAGAACTCTCCACTATGACCTGTCCATAGGGTAACCCTGCACAACATAGCTCACAGTTTCATTGAGCTATGCAAGCCCCTCTGCCTCAACAAGGAAGTGATCTGGGAGGGGGTTCATGTTCATATAGTTTTATTACATTTTGCTAATTGCTTCACAGTATAAATTTTACTTCCCTAACAATACTGCAAGATCCTAGGGGCATGGAGGAGCATCCCCAGGGCATGCTTGTCCTTGTGCTCCCACCTTGACTCTGAACCCTGGGTCAAGAACACAATTGGAGCTCAGTAAACACTTGCTGGTTAACTGGAGACTTGTTGGACAGATGAAATGTTAAATCATGGCTTCAATATGGTAACTCTATTCTCCTGTAGCCAGGGGTCTGTTGGTAAACGTTTAACAATCGATTCTCTAAAAAAAAAAAAAAAAGTATGCATGACAAATTTTAAAGTTTACTCTGAATTTTTATTTTAGTCGTCACATTCTTAAGTCTAGACAATCAACAAAACAATAAATAAAGCCCTGATTTATTATGTTTGCTGATTTCTGAGGCATAATTTTTTTTAAAAAAAACCTAACCATTGGCTCTCCTTAGCCTTAGAGCTGGCTTCAGCACACCCCTGGCCCTACCCCTCAACCCTCTTCCATTAGCTGGTGCATGACAGTACAACTCATGATCATTAAATTCAATGCACTTGCAAGTCAAGACATCACCCTCCTAATGTCATTGGTCCTCTTCTACAATGAAGGACGAACAACAATGTCTGTTTGTGCAGTGTGTTCTTTATGGATTATTCTTGGAGAAGGTTTAGTTCCATGTGTGCTTTTCCTTTCATCCTACTGGAACAATCTTTCCCATTTTTAAAGTTACTAGATCCTCAGTGTCCATTCATTTGAGTATCAGCCTAGTAAACTGGAGAAGTCACATGCTATTGCTACAATAAATGAATGAATGAATGAATGAATGAATGAATGAATGAGTGAATGAATGAACAAATAATTCGTACTAGTTGAATAGGAATAATTTTTAAATTATCTGATGTTGGAGATTATTTGTGTCCCTGCACTCAGTCCCTACTCTTTCCCATACTTTCCCCTACTCTTCAAAATCAATTGTATTGTTTTGGGGAAAGACTTTCATTCTATCTCTCTCCTCTAGAAAGAGAAAATTAGTACCCTTGAATGTTTTCCATATGTCCAAAACAGAACTAATACCTTCCCCCACTCATAAATTTTTCCCTCCTCCACACTTCTCACTTTCTTTCCAGAGTCACATCATCCTTTCAGTCATCTAGGTTTGCAGCTTTGGAATTATTTCCCTCTCCCTCACCACCCATATGCAGTTAGTTGCTAAATCTTATTGATTTTACCTCCACAATTATCTCCGGTATCTTTTTTCTTCCCTCTACTCATATGGCCATGAGTAGGGGGAGTTCAGTAATTTTTACTTGGACTATTGCAACAGGTTTTGATTTGGACTGTTGTCTGCTTGTCTCCCCCACTCTTTAACCCTTTCCCCACCCAGAGCCCAGAATAATCTCTCTGAAACACAAGGCTGATTTTGTCATTCCCTTGCTCAGGAAGCTTGAGTAAGTTTCCACTTACCTCTAGAGTAAAATAAAATTCATTCACCTCAGCATGTGAGGCCCTTCAGAATCTGGCTCCAACTAAGTTTCCCAGACTTACTGTGTATCATTCTCCTTCTATGCATTCTGTGTTCCAGACCCATAGAATATTGCTGTTCCTTAAACTTGGCATTCCATCTACCACCTGTCCTTGTGCCCAGGATGTGCCCTCAAGCCTGGAATGCACTCACTCTCCACCTCTTCCTCTTAGAATCCTTTGTTTTCTTCAAAGCCCTACCCAAGCTTCCTCTGGTGGGAAGCCTTTTCTGATCCCTCCAGGTGTTAGCGTACTGCCATATCTCCAGTCCTCCTGATCCATATCTTGCCACTGGAGACTGATGGCTCTGGAGGAAAGAGTGAGCTGGTGAGCCCTCCCTCACTTAAATCCAGTCCACTCGCAAGTCGCGGCATCATCTTCCTGATGTCGTGGTCTTCTTCGAGAACAAAGGGCAAGCCACAAAAACAGTCTCTTCAGATGATCAGCTTGATGCTTATCTGTGTGATAGCTGTGTGATCACCTCCTGCTCTTTTCCAGAATCTAAGTCCCTCTCTCTCTTTTACTCTCTCTTTCTCTTTTACACACACTCTCTCTCTCTTTTACACACTCTCTCTTTTACACTCTCTCTCTTTTACACACACTCTCTTTTACTCTCTCTCTCTTACACTCTCTCTTTTACACACACTCTCTCTTTTACACACTCTCCCTCTCTTTTATACTCTCTCTTTTACACTCTCTCTCTCTCTCTCACACACACACACACACACACGCACACACACACACACACACACACACACACACACACATCAGTGCCTAGCACAGTGTAGGTCCAGCTTTCGGGTACCACAGGGAAGAGTGGCTTGGAAGGCTCTCCTGCATGCCTATATACTGTCTAGCCCTCCAAGTCTCTATACTCTGTGCTCCTCCAAAGTCAGGCTACATGGTATGGATTGGTTTTTCACATCATGGAAAAAGCCACCCTTGCAGTCCCCATGGGAGCTCTGTCCAGATGTTGCCCATAATCAGATGCTGCCCCGCCTTCCCGCCCCCACTGATGGCACCCTTGTGATGAGGAGCAGCCCTGAGTTATAGCGCCATGGCCCTCTGTACTCCCAGCTGTGCATCTAGGCAATTAGCCTCATAGTCTGCTTTCTCAAATAGATCAGAACATTTCTGCCATCTCGACACGACATGAAACCAAATATTTAAAGTCCCAGAGACAGACGATGAAAGAAGATGATGTAACTAAGAGCGCATTAGACGAGAACAGCACATGTGCCGTTTTCTCTCCAAATGTACTGGGATGATCAAAACCCAGCCTTTAATCTAATCTCTTGTGTTTGAGGGACTTGGAGGTGGAATGAATTACATCTGTAGTGTTTCTATTGGGGGTAGAATGGACCATATGCAACCTTTCAGCATTGCAAAGAGGTAGAAGAAATAGCAGCTCATTGTAAGATGTGCAAGAGGGGTTATGGGCCAAGGAGAGGAGGGCAGAAGATTGAGCAAGAGTCAAAGATTAGCTTCCTCTAACCCTTGTGGGGCTCTTGGGTCTGTAAATGCCACAGACTGAGTGTACAGAGCTTGCCCCATCAACTTACCTGCCTCCTTCAGAGGCAAGGACTTCTAAGTGCTCTTGCTCACCCTCTGGTGACTTGTTGTAAGGGTCCCAAAATCCCCATAGAGGTTCCTAACTCTCTGTGGGGTAGGTGGTACCTTATACTGGGCAATGAAAGAATATAATTTATTGATCATCGCCCATAGAATCTCCAGGAATTAGCCTATATGTGGTAGGCATGATTTGGTTGGGCAAGCCTTGGGATATTTTGTCACCCTGTCTCTAGACAATCTTGAAACCACTTGGCATGGTCTCTGCAAAACAATGGGCCCCAATCTTTCAATCTGGTTCCTAAAGGATGATGTCTACTAAAGTCCTTCAAATACACCGTCATCTTAAGAGGCAGGCCTATAAGACATTCCTAGGATCATAGATTTTGAATTAGTAGGGAATCATCTCATCTAACCCTGTTATTTTATAGTTTAGGAAACCAGTGATTTGCTTAAGGTCACCCATATTTCAAGTAACAGAGCTAAGCTACTCTGTGCATAGCCTTGTGATTGGCTCTAGGGGAAACATAAGGAAAGTTTCAGACTTGGTATCCTCATAGAACTTACATTCTCCTTGGGGAAACAAGCCTTGAATGCATGGAAGAATAATAAGAAATATAATTTGTTTTAACATAAAGTATAATCAGCAAGCACAGAGAAAGTCAGCAGTAGGAAAAGTTGCCGTGGCCTGGGATGGTGACTTGAGCTGAACCTGGAAGGATGGAAAGGATATAATTAGGAGGTGGGTCAGTGGGGGTAGAGGAAGGAATTGCAGGTGGATAGAATAGCATGGAGTTGGAATGAGCATGACCTGTGTGGGTGACAGTGGGAAGATGTCTCCAACTGGCGATGAGGGTCTGTGTAAGAGATACATGAAAATACACAGAAAGGTGGTGGAATGTTAACTTTCCCTCATTTCTGTGTCTTAGGTCATGAAAACCTATCACATGTATCACGCAGAGAGCCTTAGCGCCGAGAGCAAGTTAAAAGAGGCCGAGAAGCAAGAGGAGAAGCAGTTCAACAAGTCGGGTGACCTTGGTATGAATCTGCTCCGGCATGAGGACAGGCCGCAACGCAGGAGTTCCGTCAAGAAGATGGAGAAGATGAAGGAGAAGGCAGGTGGTGGGAGATTGCTTCTGAGGGAGGGCTAGGGGCTCACCCAGAAGGGAACATTCCAGGGGGAGCGGGCACCTCCTGCTGTCCTCCAAGCACCCAGGGAGGTGGGTGTCACGCAGCGGGCAGGGGCTGCCCACGTTCTGTGAGCAGGGCCAGAGACAGCAGGGAAGGCAGAAGAGCCCCACTGCCTCTGCCCAATTCAAGCCAAGTTTGCACCTTCTGATTACTGCTGGGATGGACATTAGTAGCTGTGCAGCTGATCTCAGACCCTGATTAGCAGTCCAGTGTGGGATTAAGTGTTAACCAGGGTAAGGGAACTGGCTTGGGCCCCAGAATAGGATATAGGAGGCTGGTGATAAATGCCTACTCAGGAACTTTCAGCCCCAGAGTGACATGATTAAACTTCTTGATACCTATACTACATTCATGCAGCGAGCATTTATTGAGTGTCTGCTCTATGCAAGGGGTAATGATAGGCATGGGGGTTAAAAAGAAAGACAAATCAGTCTTTGCTGTCAAAAATCAACCACCAAGCATTAATGAAATGCCTATGATGTGCTAGGCACTGTGTGCGGGGCATACAAAGACAAAAACAGAGCAACCCCTGCCTTCAATCAATTGGCATGCATTTATTAAGCACCTACTATGTATAAGGCAGTTAGGTGGTGGATAGAGCAATGGGCTTGGAGTCAGGAAAACCTGAGTTCAAATCCAACTTCAGACACTTACTAGCTGTATGATCCTTGACAAGTCATTTAACCCTATTTGCCTCAGTTTCCTCATCTGTAAAATGAGCTAGAGAAGGAAATTGCAAACCCCTCTAATTGAGTCTTTGCCAAGAAAACCCCAAATGGGATCACAAAGAGTCAAACACGACTGAAAAATGACTGAACAAGGTGGGATTAACATGTGTAAGGCACTTTGGTAGTCACTAGGAATACAAAGATGGAAAAAAAGAGTTACAATTCCTGCCCTCGAGGAGCTTACAATCTATCAGGAGAGGGAACATGTACAAAAGTAAGTATATGTGGATAAATATGCAGCAATTTGGGAAGGGGAGCAGGGGGTAAGGCAGGGGGTAGCTAATGCAAAGACAGGAGGAGATGTGTCAGGAGCAGCAAGAAGGTCATTTTAACCAGACTGTGGAGTGCAGATAGGGGAACAATGTATAAAGAGGCTGGAAGGGTCAGGTGTGGACAGAGGTCGGGGTCACTGGGGGGAAAATTCTTGGTAAAACTCTGAAGTGCTATTTAAACCTGGGCTATTGTGACTCTTCCCCATGAAAACTAAGCAACATACACAGTGGGATTAAAATTTAACACGGTCTTAATGACTTAGAAACACAACCAGAAGCAAATGGAAGGAAATTATGAGGAAGGAGTGCAGAGAGACCGAGCTCACTGGAGTTTATATAAGACAGAGGCCTTAACTAGGATATGGTCACTGGGGCTTTTCCCCAGGGCAGTGAAATTTAGTGATGGCCTTAGCAGTTCTTCAGCAGTGTAGAAACAACCAATCTTTGTACCTAGTTAGCAAGAATAATTAGGTAAGAGTTCCCTTACCAGGTGGTATTAGTCTAGCCATAACTATACTTCCTTGGCTGACATCCTTACTCCCCTGATCAGTTTGGCAGTGTCCCAGGCAGTGGCTGAAGGGGCGTTTTATGCTACTTGCCCCAGTTGTAAAAAATAGTAATAAAATATGATATGTGGCATATTACATTATATCTCATATATTATATTCTCTATTAATAGAATTAATTAATAAAATATAATAATTAATAGGATACTTTATATATTGATGTTAGTTATATGTCTAGAGTAAGGAAACCGGTGTTTGAGTTCTTATTCCATGTGGGTCATAGTAGCCGGATAAGCTTAGGCAAGTCACTTTTCTTACCCTCCATCTTCTCATCTGTTAAATGGGCATAGTAATGCTTATGCAGTCCGCCTTTAGGATTGTTTTGAGGAATGTTCTTTAAAAACTGTAAAGTATCATATATTGGAGAGAGTCTTAGGTTGGTAGTCAGCAGACAGGACATATGGATAGCCTAGTTTAGCTACAGATTAACTGTGTGAACTTGGACAAATCACCTAGAATGTGTGAGCCTTAGTTTCTTCATCTGTCAAACTAAAGCTGTGGGTTAGATGATCCCCAGGGTATACCCAGCCTCTGGAGACTGTGATGCCAACAGCCTCACGTGAGTCATAGCAAGTATGCCGCAGTGCTACATTGATAACTGATAGAACAAAATGTATTCCTTGAGAAGGCTCGCTAACTCATCTGCTCAGTCTCGAGTCTGGTTGCCCAGTTCTAGGCTTTACAAATCTAAAGTAACATGTAAAAACATCACGGGGGAGGAGAGGATGTCAGAGAAGAGCTTCAGAATTAATTAAAATGCTTGAAGGTTGTCCTTCTAGGGAAAGGTTAAAGGAATTAGAATTTCATTTGGATTGTACCAGGAAGAACATTTTCCCTTTGTCCTTTTAGGGATAGGGCCTGAGGTTTGAGTGGGTACCGCATCTCCTCCCTGCCTGGGCTGGCCTAGCATAAAACCACACCTGGGGAGTGTCTGCCATTCCCTGGCTAGGTTTGCCTGGGAGAAAAATCAGAACCTCATCATTGAGCAAGCCACAGGCTAACTGGGTATCTATGCCCCATCCCTGTCCCCCTCCAGAGGCAGGCCAAGTACTCGGAAAATAAACTGAAGTGCACCAAGGCCCGGAATGACTATTTGCTGAACCTAGCGGCCACCAATGCAGCCATCAGCAAATACTACATCCATGATGTCTCCGATCTAATCGACGTAAGTCCTCCCTTCATTCCCCACTTACTTGGCACAAGTGAGGTGCATAACTGGCCGGTCACATAGACCTCCTTGGGCCTTTACTGAGAGCCATTCTGAGAGACCAGAGAATCTGAAGATTCAGAAGGAGGGCTGGTCAGGAGCTATTTGTCTTTGGTACATGGTTCAGTGTGGGAGGAGCCTGGGAATTTGGGTCCAGGATCTGGTTGTGAATGAATATTGACCTCTAGAATAAATGAGTTTAATTTTCATGGGTATCCATGACGTACATGTCTTTGGTCATATTGTTTGTGTTTATATGTATATGTTTGTGTGTGTATTTGTATATATCCAAAAGTATTAACCATCTGCTAAACAAACATACTAGGTGCAAGGGAAATACAAAAGAAGCTGGCTTCATGCACACATGTACATACACACACACACATATATGTATGTGTGTGTATATAAATATATAAAAATATTTTCTACATATTAAAAATGTAATTATATAAATAGTAGTGTAGGAAATAGAGTATAAGACTAGGAGTTTGAATCTTGCCTCAACCACTAGCTGTGTGACTCTGGGCAAGTTGCTTAACTGTTTTCAGTCTCAGCTTCCTCATTTGTAAAATGGATGGATAATAATAGCATCTTCCTCACAGGGTTATTGTGAGGTTATTATCTCAAATGAGATAACACACATAAAGCACTCTATAAATGGTATTTATTATTGTAGTATACAAGGTATCCCACAGCTAGTAAAGCTTAAAATTGAACTAAGATTTTTGGAACACCCTATATATGTGTATGTATACACACAGACACACACATACACTCACACACTCACACACTCTCATATACACGTAGAAACACACACCCAGGCAGCACGGCAGAAGGAATGGAGCACCAACCTTGATGCCAGAAAGACCTGGGTCCAAACCCTCCCTCTAACATGTACTGGTTGTGTTCTTGGGCCAGTCACTAAGCAATTTCATGTTCTAGGTAATTGTGTAAGCAATGTAAATTGCAAAGAAGGTGCCTGGATTGATAGGTGGACTTTCCTCATTGGGAAGCTCCCTACCAATGAAATCACAGTTCTGAGCCCACAACTAGGTGTATACAGATACACTACCTTTATATACTATCCTAATGTGCCAAATTATGCAGTATGAACAGTGAGAAAGTTGGATATAATCCTTCAAAGTACTAATTTTGCATGATAGATAATTTTCACCCATTTTACAAATGAGGAAACATGAGCCACCAAGGAATTAGGGAAGGGAAAGTTCAGTGTAAATGGGCATCTTCATTATGGAGGAAAGGGGCTTCAGTTGGGCATTAAAGGATGGGAACATTCTGTTTGGAAGCTGGTTTCAAGCAGAAACCATTTCTTTTGCACTCGCTTCCCACTGTACTGGTCATTGGGATCTGTATGTACTAGATCCTCAGTAAATATACTTTGACTAACTGATCTTACCTCTGGGGCCCTGGTATATTCCCGGCTGAAATGGAGAATATCTGGGTTCTGGGTTCCAGTCCACTTGGGGATGACTGTCTTTTCCCTTGTGGAGAGGAGGAGGAAGCTAAATCTCCTTGTTCAGAATATAAGGAGGGTTCCTGGCAAGTTCAGGAGACCCTAGCCATCTGGCCTCTCTCTTTTTCTCCACTGCAAGCCTTTCCCTTCTTGCAGAGGAAAGAGGAAAAGTTGAATGGAGCTTTGTCCCTTCTTCCTTCCACCACCCAGGCTTTAGATACTCTGGACTTCTCTAAGAAAGTGTGCTAGGAACTGGCCTTTGGTTTTATGTTTGAGGTGGGCTTCACAAATTCGCTGGAGCCTTTGGATATGGAAGTGTTTACTTCTGGAGATCTCAAGGTGGGATTCACAGTATTTGTCATATTGTGAATGGAAACCACTGTTGTACCTTGACCATTCTATTTTGGGCTCTTCTCTATCCTTAAGTGTTGTGATCTGGGCTTTCACACCAGCCTGGCCCGAACCTTCAGGACCTACCTCTCAGCTGAATATAACCTGGAGACCTCTCGCCATGAGGGGCTGGATGTCATAGAAAATGCAGTGGACAACCTGGATGCGAGGAGTGACAAGCATACGGTCATGGACATGTGCAACCAGGTCTTCTGCCCTCCACTCAAGTTTGAGTTCCAGCCCCACATGGGGGATGAGGTAAGACACCTGGCCTGGAACTTCCAAGGTCACTGCCATCTGCCATCACTACTTAGAGGCACATGCCCTGGATTTTTCTATATTCTCTCTCAATCTGTGACTTCTTCCATCTATCTAAGAACTCTGGACTTGGGGGTTGAACAGGATTCTCATTCTGAGCTCTGCCTTTAATTCCTTGTGTGACTATGGACAAGTCACTAAATGACAGAATGGAAGAATTGTATAATTGGAAGGGACCTTAGCAACTCTATGGTCCGATCGATGCTGTTAAAAGAATCTCCTCTAGAGCATAGCCAGCAAGCTCATAGACCTCCGTTTGGGGAGGACCTACCACTTCAGTCTCTTGCTCTCATATTTCTCACTTGTTAAATGAGGGGATCAGAATTGATGAGTCCTATCTAGCTCAAAATCTATGATCCCATGATCCTCCCACATTGACTTTGGTTATAGACCAAATCTCCGGATCCGTCGTAAGTTGTAAAATTAGAAGAAATGGTCTAATCCCCTCCTTTTCCAGGAGAGGAAACTGAGGGCCCGAGAAATTAACTGACTTGCCTATGGTCACACAAATGGTGGGTAGCAGATCCAGGATTCCAACCTGGGTCTCCTGGCTCCAAATCCAGAACTCTTTCTGTTACATTGTGAGGGTAAGGTCAGTAAAGGAATTGGTGTAAGGGATGATGGTAGGAGACCCATTCTTCCCACTTCCTACAAGTTTAGGGAGAGGGGATTATCATGACAAAATTCTTTCCCAACCAGTTGATTCCCTGAAGAATTTCCAGCATGGGAGTGAGAACTACTGTCATTGTTTCCTATCCTTGTTCCACTTTGCCATGACTTCCCTTGTCTGAATGTCATTTCATTGTGAATCCTGCCCTTGAAGTCTGGTCCTGCTGGTGGAATAGAATCTGAAGCTGGGCCCCCTTCTTGGACTCAGAGGATGTAGATTGCTGCTACATAATGAATTTCAAACCATTGAAAAGAAATTATCTTAGTGATTGAGTTGCTTTTCTGAGAAGTAAAGTGACCCACATGTTGGGCCTTTGAAGCTTGTCTCTTGCTGTCAGACAGGAAACCTGTTCCCAAGGAAAAGCAGGGAGTTATCAAAGTTTAGAGAAGTCTGCCCACAAAACTCTGGAACGCTGGAGCCAGGGTCTTCCCCAGAATCAGTGTGGTGTGGAGGAAAGGTCTTTGAAGTGAGCATACCTGGGCCGTAGAGTGGTCACATTAGAAAAGGGCAGTCTGAAGGGGGTGGTGGTGGAGAAAACCCTGAATTTGGAGAAGAGACTTGGGTTAAAGTCTTAGATTTTCCCCTTAGTAGCTGTGTGACTCTGATAAGGTTATTATCCCTCTGACTCTCAGTTTCCTCAGTTGTAAAATGGGGCGAATGAACTGACTTATGGTTTAGAGCCAAAAGGGACATTGGAGGTCAGCAAAGTCCCACACCCTCATTTGACAAATAAAAGAACTGAGAAGTGAAACAAGTCCCGTGAGCCTCACCCTGGAACCCAGGTCCTTTCAACTCCCAATCCACTGTACCAAATGAATACAGGCTCCCACTATTCCACATCATAGACATATTTTCTTTTCAGTTGCTATCAAAGCTGACTGTGATGTCAAATCAACAGCGGGGAACCCCATCAATCAACAACAACAACAACAAAAAGTTTATTAAACACTCCATGACCTTGATATTCGATGACCTCCATAAAATTCTTTATAAGATGCTAAACAGAAGTAAGATATTATTACTACAAAGTGCACAATTATACAGTCCTGCCCCTTTATTTTACAGATGAGAAAACTGAATCAGGAAATGACTTGCCCAAAGACACAGAGGTAGCTTCTGGGAGAATTGGGCCTGGAACCCGGTTGTCCCTGACCTCACCTCAGAATGCTTTCATCTATACTAGGGATTCTGAACCTAGGGTTCTGTGAACTTCAAAAAAATTTTTTTTCATAACTGTATTTTAATATAATTTATTTCCTTGTAACCCTATGAATTTTATTTTATGCATTTAAAAACATGATGTTGAAAAAGGTTTTACCAAACTGCCAAAGGAGTTTATGAAACACACCAAATGCCCTTGTTTTATGCTGTGGTGACCCTTTGAGGCTGTCAAACTGGCTCTGTGACCTTGGACCAGAATATTGCAGGCCTTGTTTCTGTCATCAGTGAGGTTTTAGACTAACCGATCTCTGGGGTCCCTCTCAGCTCTAAATTTCTCTGATTTTAAAATCGAAGGAGATTGTGCTTTTCACTCCAGGGAATACATTTAAGACACTGGTTGCCTCAAGCATTGAGAAAGCTTGAAAATATAAATTGATTCAAGAAAATTTTACCTAAATTAATGCATATGAGATCATTTTTAATAGGAGGCTTGCTTGTAAACTGTATGTAATAAAATGTGTGACATATTATATTGTAAGAGCAATATTACAAGAATAATGTAATAGTAGCAATAACAGGCACATATGTAACGTTAAAGTTTGTAGAGTAATTTATCTCATTTGAATCTGACAATAGCCCCGTAGAGTGGATATTGAGCCATAAAAGGGGGTGGGGAGTTCACATTATTAAGAGAAGATCTCTAAGCTCTGGAGGTTCTCATAAATCAGAATGCTCTCCTTGCTCTTCTAGAGGAATGAGTCAGGGTCAATCATCATGCTCTCTTGTAAACCATCCCTTCCTACCCCATCAGGGGCAGAGTAATAGACCAGAGGAACTATGGCGTGGCCTTTTTGGTTTATGTTGGTGATTTTAATGGTGTAGGCTTCCAAAGGGGGAAATTCCTTCTACCAGCACAGACCAGCTTGAATTCTACAACGTACAGTTCAAGTGAATGTTGAAAATAAATTATAGAGACAATAACAATAGAGACAAAATATAATAAAATAAAATAATGCTTGGGGATGCTGAGAGATTGTAACTCACACAGGGTCACACAACCAGTAGGTGTCAGAGGCAGGATTTGAACCCTGGAGATGGAAATGGCAAACCACTCCAGTATTTTTACCAAGAAAACCCTCCATGGGGTCATGAAGGGTCGAATGTGACTGACATGACTGAATAACCATAACTTCCAGACTCCCAAGGTGGGCTCTCCCTCCACTATGCCAGGCTGTGCTATGACTTATGTTCTCCTGATCCTTGAGGAGGGGAAGGAGACCAGCATGGGGGATGGAAGAAGAGGGCCTTGACCCATTCTCTGACTTGGTTTTTCTCCTGCAGGTGTGCCAGGTGAGTGCCCAGCAGCCGGTCCAGACAGAGCTGCTCATGCGCTACCACCAGCTCCAGTCCCGGCTAGCCACCCTCAAGATAGAGAATGAAGAGGTGAGAAGCCCCTTCTCCTTTGGGTGTGTTTCTTTCCCTAAGGTTGTTTAGACCAGGTAGGCCTATGTGCTGTGCAGGGCAGGAGCAGAAATGTAGGGTTACCCCTAGAGAGTTTCTGTTTCTCTTCTTGGTTTTCTCCTGCATATAACACATACTCCTTCTCCTCTAACCGTGAAGTTAAAACTTCCCCAAACTCCCTTAGACATGAAAACAAACAAAAAACAAAAAACAAAACCCAGGCAGTAGCTTCATTTGGTTTCCTAATTCCTATCCTTGCTCAGACTCAGTAGCCTTCAAGAATCATTCTTATGAGGCTCTAAGTTGTGTCTTTCTGTTCTCTTCTCTCTTATGAGAAGCATCATGACATCATATCATGTGTGACATCGTGTCATAGAGCTGTGTGGCGTCATATCGTAGAGCAATATGACATCACGTCATGGAGCAGTGTGACATCATATCGTAGAACTGTGCGACGTCATATCGCAGAGCAGTATGACATCATGTCATAGAGCAGTGTGACATCATATCATAGAGCTGTGTGACATCATATTGTAGAGCAGTATGACATCACATCATAGAGCAGCATGGCATCATGTCATGGAGCAGTGTGACATCATATCGTGGAACTTTGTGACATCTTATTGTAGAGCAGTATGGCATCACGTCATAGAGCAGTGTGACATCATATCATAGAGCTCTGTTACGTCATATCGCAGAGCAGCATGACATCACATCATAGAGCAGTGTGACATCATATCGTGTGACATCGTGTCATAGAGCTGTGTGACATCATATTCAAGAGCAGTGTGACATCATATCGTGGAACTGTGTGACGTCATATCGTAGAACAGTATGACATCACGTCATAGAGCAGTGTGACATCATGTCATAGAGCTGTGTGACATTGTATCGTAGAGCGGTGTGACATCATGTCATAGACCAGTGTGACATTGTGTCATAGAGCAGTGTGACATCATATCATAGAGCTATGTGATATCACATCATAGAGCAGTGTGACATCATATCATGGGTCCAGAGCTGGCTGGGACCTCAGACGCTGTCTAGTCCAACCACTTTTTTTCACAGATAAGGAAACTGAGACCCTAAAAAAAAAAAGTTTATATAATTTGCCCTAATGGACTCTTTCCCCAATAACTCTTATGTTCTTCAAATTTTAGGCTATCCCTTGATCTAAGTTATGCTTAGAAATTATTCCAGGTCAGGAGACCCAGGTTTTTCCACTAACCAGCTGGGTGACTTTGGACAAGTTACTTGGCTTTTCTGTGCCTTGATTTCCTCATCTAGAAGACGGGGATAATATAGCCTTGGGCATGCCACTTAATATCTTTGTGGACCTGGGTTCAAGTCCGAGATTTGTCCCTTACCAGCTGTGTGACTTTGGGCAAGTTCCATAAACCCTTTGGGTCCCTGTTTCCTCAGCTATAAAATGAGAGGGTTGGACCTTGAAGGTCTCTGAGGCACCTTCCAGCCCCAAATCTCTGATTCTGTGTTTCCTTTGGGGAGACATTGTGAGGATGAAATTAAATAACAATGGGAGGAAAGTCACTGGAGAAATGCATGGAATTGTTGTTACTATGCTTCCCCTTCTCCCAGGTCCGGAAAACATTGGATGCCACCATGCAGACTCTTCAGGACATGTTGACGGTGGAGGACTTTGATGTCTCTGATGCCTTCCAACACAGTCGATCCACGGAATCAATCAAATCCGCTGCATCTGAGACTTACATGAGCAAAATCAACATTGCCAAGAGGCGCGCCAACCAGCAGGAAACTGAAATGTTTTATTTTACGGTGAGCTGGGTTCTGAGCCTGAAGGAATGGACTGGTGTGGAAGGAGGAGTGTGGGGAAGGGGAGGAGAGGGAGCAGCGTGAGCTAGTGGGAACCTTGTGCCTGCCCTTGGCACGTGGCACGAAGAGGGAGCCTCCTGATCTTCGAAAGGAGAGAAAGATCGAGCATGGAGATTTTAGGAAAGCGCAGTGGTGGAGGCAATCTTGCCACTTGGTAAATTCATTACAACTCACGAGTTCTTCTAAAAAGACCTCAGAGTATTTTGTTGAGCAGACTGGAATGAGAATGTGTCATGCTGGCAGGTGCCAGGCTTCATGAAGAACGCTCGGGTTATGTTTGTGGAAGGATAGAGTTGTGCCGTGTGCTTTAAGAACAGTCTAGGTAGGTGTTCATCCAAAGCGATTGACAGTCAGCTCTCTAGCTATGCATACAAAGACCCAGATTATTTTTATGTCATTGGTTGAAGTATTTGGAGATGCCCCTTAAAGGTTCATTTCCTTGGGTAACGAGAGTCAGTGTGGGGCAGTGGAAAGAATGCTGAATTGGGGTCCTCTGTTTGAATCCTGGCTCTGTATGATTTGGAGCAAATCACTTTAATCTCTCTGGGCCTCTGTTCCTCATCCATAAAATGAAGGGGTTGGACCAGATGACCTTGAAAGTCCTTTTCAGAGTGAACTCTGTGATCCTAGCATGGATCACCAATAGGAATGAGCCATCCTGGGAGGAAGGCAGAATTAGCCAATGTCATTGACAGAGGGCCACTAGCTGCTACTGCCTCATTCATTTCCACCTAATTATCTGTTTGGCTGTTTCCAAGGGCATCATAGCACTTCTAAATGTGTCAGCACTTGGAAATCTGCAGTGGCAACTTGTTTTTTCATACTTGCTTCATGGATCCTACATTGGGCAATTCCTTCTGACTTCCCAGAGCTTTATTTTCTCCGTCTGAAAAATAAGGGTCCCGGACTAGCTGGTTTCTGAAGTTGCTGCCAGCTCTGAAATTCTACATAATCTCATGATCCCTTGATCCTGGGAAGGTTGGAAGAACCACATGCAGCCTTGGGTGGAGGGTGATGGGAGGATGGGGGGGAGTGTCACAGATTGGTTGATAGCCAAGGTACAGAAAAACACTGCCTCTAGACTTATTTACATTCTCTAATGAGCCAACTCCTGTGATGATAGATAAATAAGTTATCAGTCTAATACAGACTGGGCCTTTGGGGCATAGGCCAGCATCTATCAGAGACAGTGGGGTTAGTGGCTGAAAGAAGCAGGCTGGCAGGCAGACACCCTAGCTTCTGATCTCAGCTCGGCCTCTTACTAGCCGTGTTTCCTGAGACAAACTGCTTAATCTCTCAGAGCTGTGATTCCTTTATTTAGAAAATGTGAAATAATATTAAGACCTGCCCTGCCTATCCTACAGGTTTATTGTGGGAGAAGCACCTCTCCCAGCTTAAAACAATTTATGAATGTTAGCTGTTGATTAGTAATAATAATAGGAATCATTTTTAATGTCGTATCTTTGTGACTGTGGGCAAGTCACTTAACTTTTCTGTGTCCCAGGTACTTCTATAAGACCAAAAGTTGTGGAGGAGGGAGAGGGAGGAGACAGAGACACTCTGATGGGGGGCAGTAACCTGTATACCCAGGACCATCTGGTCACTCAGTGTCAGAGGCTTGAGTTGAACCCAGATCTTCTAGACTCTGAGACTGTCTCTCTGTTATCATTTGAAGCAACCTTTCTTCTCAAATAGGTGGATAGGGACTGGGGCTGTAATTTTATTGGTAGAAAGAACTCCCGCGTTGAGGAAACTCTTTCCCCCGATGCAGTTGTACCTTTTCTTTTCTTTTTTTTTTTTTGCACCTTATAATCTTAGATCTGGGGCACAGAACCATTTTGTGTCAGGGACCCCGCCTTTGGCAGTCTGAAACCAGTGGGCCCCTTCTCAGAGTCATGTTCTAAGATATATAAACTAAAATACATAGGAACACAAATGAAGCCAGTTATATGGAAATGCTGTCATCAGAAGTAAAAAAAAAAACCACACACACACAACAACAACAAAACAACAACACAAATTCATGGATCCCAGGTTAAAAATCCCATCTTAGAGAGATGCTGAGAGATTGAGAAGTTAAGTGACTTACCCGGGGTTACCTAGCTGATATGCATCAGACTTAAACCCAGGCCATTTCTGTTCACTGTTCCACATACCCTCTCCTGTAAGAACCACTACAATAATCATAAGTAAGATAATGCATAAAGCTACTTCGGAAAGCAGGGGTTTATGCACAAATGAAAGAAATCATTATTAGATCACTTCAAAATCAAAGCTTGCCTGCTGAGCATGTCTTTAGAAGAGTGGGCACCATCTCCCCTTGTCCCCTCTCTGCTCCCCACCCACGACCCAAATAAGTAAGACTTGTTTGGAAGCTGCTGTCTGCAAGGTCTGATAAAGCCCTCCCTTTCCCTCCCTGGAAGGTCTCCTGTCTTTATGGCTGTTGGCACAAAGGGAGCCCGAGGTCCCGTGACAGAAGGAACCCTGCTTCGCTGAGCTCCAACTGACAAAAGAGGGCTTTCACTGAGCTGTTTTCTCTGGGACTCCTTGCGTTCCCAAACCCTGACCTGAAATTCATGCCCAGGGACAAAGGATTGGAGGCTAATAAGATCGACAGACCAATATTTGAATAGCACGGAGTGAGAAAGTAAACAGAAATCCCTCCTGTGGTCCCTTCTACCCCAGTCCTGATGTATGGTTCCTCTGAGGGTGGCACATTCTTTCTCCTTTTGCTTTTTGCACCACCACTCCCCCCCCCCAGCCAGCACCAACCTCAACCCCAACAATGGGAGCCACCATTTTAGCCCACCGTCCTTAACTCTCTCCTGCCTTGTGTTTTCCAGAAATTTAAAGAATATGTGAATGGCAGTAATCTTATCACCAAGCTGCAGGCTAAGCATGACTTGCTCAAGCAGACCCTTGGAGAAGGTGAGTTGTGTGCTCCAGGCTCAGGAGACGCCCTATGTTTCCTGGCCTGTTTTTAAAGCCCCGTAGTGAGGAAGGAATTCCCTGGTCTTGGCTTTTTGTGCATGTGACCAGCCAAATGCTCCTCCCTGAACCCTGTCGGGCTTGAAGGGATTCGTCTGGGAGTGGCTCACCAAGGATTGGCATCTCTTTTCCCTTCATTCCCTGGGCTGTGCCCAACCATGTCTCTGACTCCAGGGCCAGGGTACCATGTAGGGAGTCCACACTAAAGTGAGGGATGGGGGAGAGGGCAGGGCTCTTCTTCACCCTTGTATCTTTATTCCTAATGCCCTCCAGGTAGTAGCAATTCTGAGGAAAGAAGGGAGGGGATGGTGGAGAGGAAAGAGGAGACACTGGGGCTGAGGGGCGTGAGGTGGAGAGTCTATATTTAGTGTTTAATAAATGCTTGTTTCCTTCTTTCCTTCATTGGGTATTTATAAATCACCTGCTGTGTGCAAGGCACTGTGTAGGGATGCAGTGAAGACCTCAGAGAGAGGTCTTTCAGTCCAGTGAGAGGACTAAAACATGTATCAGAATATGAATTAGAGTGTGACAGATGTGTAAGATGTACCCAGTTCTATGAGACCAGCTGGGCTGTTGAAAAGACCTTGATGCTTAGAGGCAGTGTGACCACCAGCCCTTCCTAGGGCTTCGTTTTCCTCATTTATAAAAGGAAAGGTGTTGGACTAGATCTCTAAGGTCCTTGGTGATCTGAATCATATGACTTGGGAGGATTAAGGACAGCTTTTGGAGGAAGTGACGTTTGAACTGGGCTCTGAATAGTGAATCGGGTTTTGTTGGGTAGCTCCAGGGGCAGCGGGCAGTTGTGCCAGGTCAAGGGAATGTGCTGAGTAAAGGTGTGCAGGCAGGGAAGCCCAAGGCGTATTCAGGGAATGCAAATAGGCTGCAGCCTAGTGCACATGATGAGGCTGGTGAGGCACAAGAGGACAGAGAGAGCCATTCTTGGCTTATTTCTGTTCACCTAGGTCCTTTCTTCTGCCTAACGCTTTTTGTAATTCCCCTCCCATACTTCCTACCTTTTCCAGGACAAGCAATACTGTCCTTCCTTCCACATTTATTCATTCAACAAACATTTATTAAATCCCTACTATGTGCAAGGCACTGTCACACTGCCAGCTCTCTTATTCTTCCCTAGAGCCCGCAGCGATCTAGCCCATTAGGATGGGATCTGGTTGTTGCTGGGAGAATCTTCCAGCCCACCAGCTTCTGGGAGACATGGAGATGCCTAGTGAACTATATCTTTGTCTCTTGGGCTTTACCTTTAAAACCAGGGCACTGGCTAGAGGCTTTCAGGACAGCTAAAGCAGAGTCAAGGAAGTTTACTAGTAGCGACTTCAGCGTTGTTTTCCTAAGTGAGCTATCTCCTCTTTGGAAGATGGATGCTTTATAGGTTTTTGGATGACTCTTACTTGGAGGACAGTATTTCTTTCCTGCTCTCCCATTAGCCATAGCAAATGCAATCTTTTGTTAAATCTTTGCATGGATGCTCTTAATGCAATAAAAAATTAATTAGTTTGAGTTGGCTCAGATCCTGACCCATCTAGTCTTCCAAGTTTATTTAGCCTTCTGCCCTACCTTGCTTCAAGATGTGATTTAACAATCTTTTCTTGGAGCTCTGAGCTAACCACTGATGATCCCTGGAAACACGGCTTTAGAGGTATAGGGATGAACATATAGTTTTTTTTTTCCCTTTTCCCTTATTTATCTTTGGAAACAGATCTAGTAGTGGTATTGCTGGGTCAAAGGGCGTAGGCAGTTTAATAACTCTTTGGGCATAATTCCAGATTGCTCCCCAAAATGATTAGATCAGTTCACAATTCCACCAGCAATAATAGATTTGCAGTTTCATGAGCAATCATACTCTTTATTTTGCTATGTTATGGAAATACTTATTTTATTCCATAAATTAAAAATAAAATAAATAAATGTGGGGGAAAAAAGAAGTATAGGGATGATGAGAAAAGAACCCAGCAGGAGAATCTCAGGGCTCTGAAGTTTTAGGAAACAACCATGGCATTTCTGTGGGCATGGGACAGTGGCCATCACAAGGAAGTGCATGAAGGACCCTCTGCTCTGCCTGCAAGCTCCAAGCTGAGCACAGCCCATCACAACAAGGGCCAGGCTCTGTTTGAACCCCACATTTTGCTTTTGTCCATTTTGTGCTTTTTGCTAAAAGTGAGTACAAAGGGTTAGGAAATGTGTCAACACACACACCACTGGGTCTTGCCCATTATTTTGGGGGGGTCTTTGAGCACTTGTTCCTTCTATATAGTTGAAAGAGCCTGGGACTAAGAGGAGGAGATCCAGATTCTAGTCCCATCTCTGCTAGTAGCTTGCTGTGTGACCCTGGGAAAATCACTTTACCTCTCAGGATCTCAGTTTTCTCCTTTGTAAAATGGAATGGAATGAGATTATCCCTTAGGCTCCTTCTGTCACTAATGATCTATGATTCTGGGTGAGATTTATCTCTTGATGATGGAGCCAAGCATATTTCATGGGACCAAGTTTATATGAATCAAGTTGGAATGGAGACTCGAAAGAGTCTTTGAAAATTTTAAAGAAAAGAATCAATACAAGGTCTTGCAGATTTCATCTTGATAAATTTCCAGCATTGGGCATGAACCATTGCAGATGCCCAAAGCTTTGGAAACCCTATGCGTTGTCAGGGTTGTCGGGGGATCAGGTAAACCTTGCAACCTAAACTTTCTGTGTTATAGGAAGATACTTCTACCTTGGTTCTTGGATAACCAAATCCCTAGTATTGTGAGGCTCTATATAGTAGGGTTTTACTCTCTATTATGGCTCTTAATCATAGTCCAGAGTGTTTACTCTGGAACTCTTAAGGCAAGTGGGAAATTGACTCAGTTTGGCATAGGAGTGTGTGTGTGTGTGTGTGTGTGTGTGTGTGTGTGTGTGTGTGTGTG